TTCCTGACTCAGTAAGGCATGATTTATGGGATGTCCCAAGCACGTGTCCTAAAATAGACTGGAGCTGAGCAAGGCAAGTCTTAATAATTCTTATTTGCTTTTCAGGACTCTATTCTGAGTGTGGATTTTTTTTCCTTTAAAAAAAACAAAAAACCCTCTCAGGTGCATGGGTAACTCTCTCTGCAAAATAAAAACCTTTTCCAGCTTATCCTCCAGACAGCTGCAACTTGAGGATAAGAAACTGAGAGAAAGCCCCTTTAAAACCTGTAGGAAGGGTACTCACTTCTGAGTAGGCAGGCACAGGAGTGTACCACTAGGCAGACATTAGGTGGGCCTTGTACACCAGTCGTCCACAACGTGTTGCCCTCTGCATGTTTTTGACTTCAACTCCCATCAGCCCCAACCAGCATAGCTGGGGTAGGAAATCAAGGTGTCATGGTCCAAACCATCCAGAGGGCACCTGGTTGGGGAAAGCTGTTAAACTCAGCTTCTACACTTGCAAGCCCCAATAGCCTGTGGCTGGTCCCAGTAAACATATGGGTGCGCAGCCACATATTTGCAAACTTGTGTTAAATTCTAATGGCCTAAATCAAAAAAGCCCGGAACAATCTGGGTATTATAAAAGTAATGGGGCTGAGATGCTATCCAGCAGGTCTGTCTCATGAGCTGTACCCAGTATGGATCTAACTTAAGTCCCACTCACTTCCGCGATTCCACTCTAAATAGGCCAGATACCAGATACAATTTTTGGTAATCTCTAGCCACATCACAATTGTGCAATTCCCAAAGTTCCCCAGGACAAAGTAGAACAATAGATCTTTGGGGCTGCAGCTTTACATTTGAGTAGATACAGATAATCTGCTTGCAAGCACCATTAAAATGTTGAACTATTGCCAAGTAAATATTTGGGGGATGGACGGATCTAAGTATATTTGGGGTCACACCCTCCGCATCTCAGCACTGTCTGCTCCTAATTAACTCACCATCATAAAAAGTTAATCCTTTTTAAAGTTTGCTCCTGGCTTGTATTTCCTTTGTAAAGTTCACCTGAGCAGAGATTCTGTTCCCTGCTAAAACTAGCTGGTTTCAACAATAGCAGCTACATGCAGGTGTCCATGCCATGGTGGCCAGAGCCAGAAAGATTCTCAGGAAACAGCTTTCTGACCTTGGTTTTTCAAGGTTTGTGGTGCAACTATGCAGAAGATCCTTATGTAGAGATATGAGCAGTGTCACACTGCATGCCACATGTTAAATTCCTTTGGAGCTTTCTGCAGGTGACATACCAGGAGATGCCCTAGTCTGGACTGCACTGGCTAAGCTCTGGTTAACCCTTGTGGATGTGGTAGGAGGAAGCTTCTCTCTTACCCAATTTTCCATTAGTATAAATGCTTCTCTGGAACGAGGGTCCTTTGAGAAGATGCAGTATAGAAGCAGATTGCTGTTCACCCACTCCTGCAGCCTGACCCTATACATCATTGTTCAGAAGTAATTCCCATTGTATTTAGTGGGGCCTACTCCAAAGTAATTTTGGACTGGTTTGCAACTGAAGTTATAGAAAACAATCCTTACTGGGTATCTTACTGATTCCTTCCCCCTGGCTCCTCCATAATGAATTCAGAGCCATTACTTTACAGCAGTATTTCTATACCTTTTTTAATTTCTGGGCAGTCGCTTTCATCATAGCAAGCTTAGCTGTTCTGACATTCAGAGCCTTTCCCAGGCAGGTATGGTTCGAAGTACCAAAGCAGAGCAGCTTTTCCCAACATGATACCATCCAGATGTGTGGGAATTGCAGTCCCACACATCTGGAGAGCACCAGGTTGGGAAAGACAGCAGCAGAGTATGAGGTTTCATTGCTGATTGATTTGTATTTTTAATTGTGATATTTGTTGCTTATCTGCCTAGATGTGTGTTGCATTCACCACTTTGAAACCTCGGCATAAAGCAGATTTGAAAAATCAGTAAACATCTAAAATAGCCCGGAGGCACTGGGTTTGGGCAAATAGGGTAGGTGTGGCCGATATGTCAAGCCCTACGACCTCACTTACTTTTACCATGTTGCAAATCACCCATAATCCACCCCTTTCTCAAAGTTACATGGATGCGGCATGACCCGATGTAAAAGAGGACAAGCGCCTGCCTGCTTCTTGCACAGATGAAGGCTGATCAGGTGCAATTTGGCGGTTCTCCCAGATAAGCTGCCCTCCACCAAACCTCTTCCACAGGACTGTTAAATGTTTATAGCCAAGCGCTCTGGGTCCCCACCTTTACCTAGGGACGGCCCTCCTCTCCGCTAGCACCCCCAGTAATGGATTTCGGGCAGTGTTTGCCTTTCAAAACCTTGAAGAAACGAGCGAGATACTCTCGGATCTAACCGCAAGGTGATCTCTGTTGCAGTGCCCTCGTTTCCAAAGATAAAAGGAGCCGCCTCCCTCCAAGGTGGAGAACGCGGCGGCGGGAGGAGAGCCGCGGCTGCGAGCGAAAGAAGAGGCGGCGTGTAGGACCCTGCGGCGGCCTCCCGTTGCTGCCGCCGCGGCCAATGCGCGACGTAGCAGGAGCGCCAGCTCGGCCGCCGTACACCTGCTAGCGGCGTGAGCTCGCGGGCTGCTGCTGGGCTCCACCGCAGCGTGCAAATCTCGCCTCTTAACGCACCAGAGCTTCCGGCTTTTGATCTCTCCCCGCCAGCAAACGTACCGTAAAGACCGCTGCAGCCGCCTCCTTTCGCGCGTACGCCCAGCCCTGCTGCATCAGAGCTCTCGCCTCTGCTCGGCGGGCAAAGCCACCCGCACCAAAAATACAAATAAAAAGGGGTGCGTGGGAGACGAGTGGCCTCCTGAATCTGCCAACTTTCTTTCTGCACTCGGAATTACCTACTGACTCTTTACTGCTTTGCACTTTACACCCCTCAAGTTTATCCTCTTAACGCTGGAACCGCGTCGGCTAGTGTGTGTTCCCACACCAACCACCTTTAACTTGGAAAAAAAATGCAGCGTTATTATTAGAATGCTTCATAAATCATATAACTGTAAGAAACGGTGTCCGGGCATGAAAAGGAGGTGGGTGGGTGTGTTATACAGACAGGCACGCTCAGCACAAAACTACGAAAGAGGCTTTGTAGACAGACTGAACTACAACTTTCCCCAGACATGTTGGCTGGGGATGATGTGAGTTGGAATCCAATATATCTGGAAGGCCCCAAGTTGGGGCACGTCTCGACCAGGGTGTGAGGAATGAATGGCGAAACGGAATGACTTGGCATTTAACTAGACCTGTTCGAATCCCCCCTTCTAGTAATGACCCCTCCAGTGCGCATCCCTTCCTTACACAACAGCGGCATTATCCAAACAGCTCTTGAAAGCAATAAAAGGAACACAGTTTAGATCTTGTTCAACATCTGGCATTAAAGCATGACAGTGAAGGAAGGGGGGGGAACCACCACAGGACATCGCTTTTACGACGAGCTTTTAAGTGCTGTCAGGTGGATTCACTCACAAGTTAACTCCTTCCAAACAGCAATAGGAAGCAACCTAAAGCAGCATTATTTTCTCCTCCCAACCCTTTCAAAACTTAATCTGCAGGGTTCAATTAGAGTGGTCTATCATAATAACCGCAGCAGTCTATAGCAGTAGTCCTGCAAGCAGTCTTCCCCAACCTGGGGTCCTCCAGATGCTGAGCTCCAACTGCAGGCATTCCTGACTTGGCTGGTGCTGATGGGAGTTGGAGTTTAAAATATCTGGAAGGCACCAGGTTGGAATAGCTGAGCTGCAGTGTCTGAAATACATCAGATGTGTGTGGGAGATGAGCCTCCACAAAGTTGGTGCCCTCCAGGAGCATAGGAATACTGTCCCCCCATCAGCTAGCTGAGGCTGATGGGAATTGGAGTTCAGCACATCTGAAAAGTGCCAGCTTATGGAAGATAGAACTAGTATGCTTCACCTCTGTGCTGAGTCACAAATACGATCTTTTGAAAACAAACTCTACAGAATACTTAAAAAAGGCAAGAAGCACTCATGATCTCTGTGTCAGGGCAGTTTGCATGCTGCTTGATGGAAAGCATTACACATGGATCATTCCTGTGATACCTGCATAGTATTCAGACATGCAGGCATACAACAATTAGACAAAGATAGTTGCTGAAGCATTTGCTAATTTCATGGCCAAGAGATCTCAGTTTATGTAGGCACCAACAGCAGCGCTGAAAAGTCTTGGCAGGAGCTGCTGACTTGGGTGGGGTGGGGGGAATCCCTCAAGGGGGAGGGGGAAGCACTGTAGGCATCCTTCAATCCACTGTTTTGCAGGTGGGTAGAGGCAGATATTAACGTCAGAGGGGGGAAGGGAGTTGGGAATTTATTTGTCCCAAGAAAGCATTGTCATTTCCTAACAGCACAATCATGCTCAGAAATAAGACTCCTGGCTTGAAGCCAGATTTAGTCACACTTAGAACAGACCCAGTGAAACCGACAAAATTTAACTATGACGAAGTCTAGATCCAACCCACTGAGCTCAAGGGAACTTACTCCCTGCTAACTGTGAATAAGACAGCAGTACCAACATATATTAGACTTACTAGAAGGCGATCCGAATCTTCCTGTAGCAGAATAGCTGCCTAGATATGGGTTGCAGCCATATGTAGAGTAGACCCACAGAAATGAATGGGACTTTTAGCATTAACACTGGATATGACCCATTATTATTAGCTACCTCTATTTCTCCATCAGCACAGGTTTGTGGGGAGGGTAGTGGTGATCCATATATTTCCCCACACTTGGTGGCTCTTGGGTTTAAAAAACTCTTACTTGGACACTTGCAGGGGTGTCCCTTGTGCATGCCATCTGCAAAGTCCGGAGGCTTTTCCTCTTCAGAGCTGTTCAATAACAACAACAATCCTCATCATCGACTCCTCCTCCTCCATCCCATTTCCTCCCTACAATAAAAAAGCCAGACCAACTTCTGTCATCGCCATCCCTCGACCACCAGAGGGTTAACAGCCCCATACCTACCAAATCTGCTGTGATCTTGCCTGGTTCCTTGGATCGTGCCATTGGGGAAAATTTCTAAATGAAATCCAGTCCTGCAGTAGAGCTGCCTCCGCCTCAGGATCCCCTTTAAATGATCCAGGTCCGTCACGGCCGGCCCCCGAGGAAGACCTCCTGCTTCGGACTGCCCCAGGTGGTCGCTCAGCAGGACCGGGCTGTCGGCCGGCAAGACGGGCACGTTCCCAAAGGGTACCGCATCCTGGACACCGAAATAGTTCCCAACTTCACCTAAGGGAGCCATCAGGAGCGAGGGGCAAGGAGGAGGGGGGTGGTTGGCTTTGTGTGTGTGTGTGTGCGTGTAGCAAAATTATAACGCTAGTGCCCAGACCCAAGCTTTTCCCCCCCTTCCCTTAACAGGGGGAGAACCGTGTTTCCACTCCAGTCTTCCCTCCCACTTGCAGTTACATTGAGGGGAGGGAAAAATGGTTCTTGCTTTAATCCATCAATATATCTCTATATATGTAATCTGCTGTTTTGACTGGTCTCAGGTTCAAGGTCAAAGCACTGCTCGTCTCAAGAAACCACCACGCTCGACTCACACCGTGACATATTTATAAACACATCAGAGAGAAGAGGTCTAGAAGTGGAGTAGGGCGAGCTCATCTGTATTCCCTCGGGCTTTTAGCAAGCGGTAGGGTGGTCTTCTGCCCATCCGGCCGTAATGAGGATCAGAATCCGTAGTTTCTCCATCGGGCTTAGAAGCAGCAGCGGAACGACCATCGCAACTTCAGCGTTAGAGGTGCTGGAAGAAGAGGAGGAGGAGGAGGAGGAGGGAGGCGCATACATGGATTATTGGCATATGCATTTAAGATGCACGGGCGACGCCAGGATTTTTTACGGATTCGGATTCCAGAAAGGCATGCGCGGTTTTTACTCTATAACAGACTGCATACATCAGCACGAATCCTGTGAGGAGGAAAAGAAGCAGCAGCAGCAGCAGCGGGGAGCGATCTCACACTGGTTGGCAGAGGCAACCAAGAAAGCGGAGAGGGGCTGTTGTTCATATAATATGATATTGGAAAACCCGAAATGGGGGGAAAAAACTTTTGACGTCCAGCGCTATTATCCAGAATCCTCCACGGATGCCCCCGGTTTAGCCTGGCCGACGATCCACCCCGAGCAGGGAGAGAGGGGCGTCCGGGTGCCGCCAGTGCCTTTCCGCTGCGTTGCCTTGAAACAGGTGTAGCTTCTGCAGAGCTCCTCCGTGCAACGTCGTGCTCCTCCAGCCCCGAGCTGCTGCTGCTGCGGCTCTCGACTGTGGCTCTCCCATCCAAGCACGCAGGGAAAAGTGGCGCAGGAAGAGGCATTGGGTTGGGTTTAAGGTAGTCCAGCTTGCGGGCGGCGAGGGTTCTCCCAGGTCCTAGCGCGCAACGCTACCTGCTGCATAGAGCGGCGGTTCCTTCCTCCAGCCCAGCCAGCTCGACGCAATACCAGAACCTCGCACACGCTCTCTCGCCCGCTCCCTTGCTCGCTCGCCCTCTTCTAATTTTTTTTTTTTTTTTTTTACTGCTCTGCGACACTCCCGCCACAGCGGTGTGCAGATAAAGCAGATCAATGCAAACCACCAGAAACTTGGAAGCCGCGATTGAATCGTGAGCCACCGGAGGAAAAGAGACGGGATGCAAACAGCGAGATCGGACGGCGGCGCGGCCCTGGAGCTGAGCAAAGTGCGGCTTTTCCCCAAGGATCCCGGCTTTTCCCCGAGGTGTTGAAGCAGCGCTCAAGGACCTGGGCGCCGTCGGGAGAGGACGCCGGGCAGGCGGCCGGCTGGGCGGCCAGGGAGCGAAGGAACTCGCCAAACCGATCTTTACGCAGGGCTTGCTCCCCGAGACTAACTCGCAAGTTGCCGGGAAGGTGCGACCAAATAGCCCGATCCTAAGCAGGCCTGCTCGGAAGTAAGCCTGCTCGTAAGCGGTCACTCCCACCTTGAGCTTAGGGCTCCGGCAGTTGTACGCGGATCTCTCGAGGACGCAAATGCGCACCGACCGGGTGCCTGGCGCAAACGCACGGGTATTTCTGCTTGGACGGAAGCTCTGCTCACCTTGGGGCGTCCTGGACGATTAAGAAAGAGAGCGAGAGAGAAAGTTCACTAGAGGGAGCCGACGACAGTGATGGCGTAGACGTTGGACTGTAATTCCCATCATCCCTGGCCAGGCTGGCTCAGTTCTAGCCCAAACAGCTGGCTGGGGAGAAGCGGATGTCAGCGCTGCCACTTTGGGCACCTCTGCGAACCAAAGGCTGCGGCAATACAGTGTACGCTTACTCGAGAGTAAGATCTGTTGAGTCCCGGGGAGCGTACGTGTGAATAGCGATGCACCTGGTTGTTCTACTGCACCAGCGCGTTTCCTTAAGCGGAAACGCCCCTGAAATCGACAGGATTATCTAGGGTGAAATGCGCCTAGAGCTGGCGGTGCTCGTTTCTTTCCGGGGAGGGCTCGAGCTGAACCCTGCGTGGCCCTCAACTTCTGTGGCAAGCCCCGGGACTTGCGAGGCCTCCGCGGGAGACGCCGAAAAGTCAGCGCTGCCCAACTGCGCCAGCACGTGGCGAACCGGCCTACGTGTGCGCCACGTGCTCCTTCAGCCGGGTAGGGCCTGCCTTTTTGTTACCAGGTCTCAAAGCTGCTGCAAACAAATTGCCACTTGCCAAAAGCCGGTCCTGTGGTGTGTTGATGCGCGCGCCAGGCGGGCTCTGGAAGCTGGGTGACCTGAAAATGTGGCGACGGCAGCTGCGGCCACAACTCAAAGGCCGGTTCTAAACTGCGCTGAAACCTGCAATTGTGGGGGATTGATTAGAGATCCTCACCAGCTCTTGGTTTCCCTGAGCCTTGCAATATGTGAAGTGGCAAACAAAGATGGCAGTGCTCCTGAGTATATGCAGAATGCCAGGTGTGATTAAGACCTTGTTCATCACTTTCAGGGCATAGTGAAGACATTGTGCAAATGAGGATTTCAGCTAGGAGAAGCTTCCTGATCGTTGCAAGATTCAATAGGCCTGGCCTAGTTTCAATCCAATTAGGCAAGTTGTTATCACATGACTATGACAGTTTTCAGGAGAGACACTTAAAGCCATGGTTTAATTGATTTCATTTCCTCACGGGTGTGTCAAATTAAAAGTATGCATGGACTAGAGAATGCAAATGTGATTAAACATGTACTTTCTGCTTTCCATTTTGCATTTAACAATATTCATAAGTGGAAGGACTGTTTCAGCCAGTGGCAGTTTGGCATAGTCCTCTGCACAATATTGCATGCAAAGCACAATTAAGCACACGAATTTGGAAGAAGACCCCATAAATCAAATGGGATTTGCATTTGAGTAAACCTGCATAAGAGCGGGCCACAGAAATGTGTTCTCATCTAAAATGCACCATATGTGGATATCATTAGGAATACAATTTTATTAATGAATCAAAGTAGCAAAAGCTTCAATAAAGGGGTTCTTAGCACCTTTTAAACTGGCCTACAGCACAATTCTACTCAGAAGTAAGCCTATTGATTTAAGTGGAGCTTACTCCTAAATAGGCAGGTGTTGGATTGCTGCTTTAGTCTGCAGCAGCCAGGTCAGATTCTTCCCACCAGGGTATTCCTGTTTTGCTACTCGTGTCTTGAGTCATGTTTCAGTATAGGAAAAGCAAAACAAAAGCTCAAGACAGCTCCAGGTCCTGATACGGTCCATTTCACTTTCAGAGAAAACCAGGAAGTCAGAGGAGGTTCTTTTTCTTTTTAATCCCACACCTTCCTATCTCTGTGTTCTGCTGTACCTATGAAAATAACAGGCTCTTTCAAATGAAATCTCCATAACCGGAAATGTATAAGAAGTGGCTAGATAGTCATCTGTCAAGATGCTTAACTCCACTTTCCTGCCTCAAGGCGGTGGGTTGGACTGATGTTCCCTGTGGTTATTTCCTATGGTTGCCTTCACCTGAACAAAGGCAAAGAGCATTAGCTCCTAATTCTGTAGGAGTTATTCAAGCAAATGCGCCTCTCTTCTGCCTTGCACATACAGTACACTTTCTGTACAGGAGTGCTGTTCCTCAGGTTTTACTATCACGGAGGATCATGTTCAGCAAAGCCTTGTGTTGACATATTTTATTGTGTTATATTGTAAAATGTATGTTCTGTTTTTCATCCAGTTGAGGAGGTCCAAATCATCAAAAATGTCAAGCTAGGTAAGCAGGTTATGCTTTACTAATGGAAAAACCAATAACCACTTAAAAATAACTGCCTTCCCTACTTGGTGAAAAAAAACTTTCATACAGTCTCATAGAAAATAATCTTTTAAAAAATATTTTAACATAAGCAACAAGAAAACATCTACAGAATACAATGAATTCTTTAAAATGTTGCTGCACTGTGCAAACTAAATATGCAATGCCATGCTGTGGCAAGCAGGGAGCTGGATGACCTATTCTAAGTACACATAGGATTCTACCCTAAGGCTACAACCCTAAACCTGCCTATATGGACGACCCATTGAACACAATAGGATTTAGTAGGCATGCAAAAAGATTGCACTTTAAAATTTTGACTAAAGATGCAATGCTGTGCATGTTTGTTTGTTTATTTAAAGGTTTTATTTGCCGTCCCCTTGCTACATAGCCTCTCGACGGCTCACAGCAATAAATAAATAAAACAATTACAATTAAAACTTGGAAACACACTGGCTGCACAATTAAAATCTATAAATATTAAAGATTATTAAAATACTGTTTGAATAAAAAGGTCTTGGCCTGGCACCGAAAAACAAATAATGACGGTGCCAGGCGGACCTCTCTGGGGAGTGCATTCCACAGATGGGGCGCCACTGCAGGGAAAGCCCTCCTCTGGGTGCTTTGCTTCCTGATACCTCTTACGGAAGGCTCCCAGAGGAGAGCCCCTGCTGCCGATCTCAACATGCCCTACACCCTTCAACATCCCGCAGGTACCATGGCTGGCTGAGGCATGCTGGGAGTGGTCAGACATTTTTTTTGTTTAGGAATGCATAGGACTGCACCTTAAGTTGATTATGAGAATTTTGTTTCACTTATTGTATACTTTATTCATGTGACGTTTAATTGGGTCATACCCTTTAGATATGGCTCTGATATCTGGAAGGTTAAAATGTGTTAAATAATTCAGTATTTTAAATTACATCCTTTACTGAAACACCATTGATTTTTATGCATGAACCAGTCCTCTGGCTTAGTGAATAGGATGTCAAAGTCTTGGCTCCTTTCTCCAATATCAAATACTCAGCTAGAAATGGAAGATGCATT